CCCCCCCCCTTTAAATAACAACAATGTGGTTGATTTAAAAGGTCTTGCTGTTGGATTAATGTGATTTTTATCTTATGAATGTTTCACAATTTTGTCATAGCGTAGCTATTATTGTTACTGTTTGGTATTATCTTTTTTTTTTATTATTAATTTAGAGAGTAGCAGAATAAATTATGTAGTAGTCCTGTGCCAAGTGTTGTAAGCATTTTAAGAACTTGTTGCTTTATTTCTGTGAACGTTCTCTTTCATACAGGTCATGTTATATCTGTTAAAAAATAAGTCAAGGCAACTGGACTTGCTGTAACCAGGTTAGCTGACCCAGTGAAACTTCTTCATGAAAAATACACCAAGTCCAGTTGCCTTGACTTATTTTTTACAGATCGTGTTGCTTTTATTAACCCTAAAGTGTACATGTGACAATGCTTTGTGACAGTATAGGGATGAGCCATGCTATATTTAAAGGAATGAAACAGTTTTATCTCCATAATCTACAGATTCAGAGAAATGATAAAAAAAAAAACTGTCTACAGCTTATTGGAGGAAAAAAAGAACCTAAATGACAATGAGAAATTCATGGGCAAAAGATGACAAACGTGGAAATAGAACAAAATAAAGCTTAAAAACATGTTAAAGGCCAAATGTATCTGTCTGACCATGTTTTATGTTGCACCCATATTCTGGTCACATCGCAATCCCTCTCCTGTGCCTCACTTGCCTGAGTAGCAGGGTTCTTCTCCCTGGGTTATATAGTCTCTCCATTTAGGATCTGTGAATGGATAGCGCACCTGTGTGGTGGAGTCACCCACTGCTGCGCCAAATTTGAAAGAACAAGTGCCATCGGCCACCGCGACAGAGGGACTAGTAGTTCTCTGGTATACAAGTGCAGTGGTATGACCGCACTTGTAGTCCATTCATTTTTCCTTCTGTTCATGATACTGATTGTCCGTACCAAGGTACAGATAGGGATGAAGAGTCTGCAGGAGCCCTGGGAGGGAGAATCTGCAGGAGTCGACGCATTGTACCTGCAGTCTACTGATGCATATTTTCTTTTATGAATTTATTTCTATGAACTTCTTTTTTTTTTTGTTTAAAGGCGGACATAGCCTTTTAAACAAGAATATTGGGGACACCTGTATAGTGTTAGTAATGAATACAACAGAGAATTTTACCTAGACGTGAAGTTTTACATTAACCTTTGTTTGTTCTGTCTTTGTTTCAGAATTACAAGATGAGCTGTAACCTGGTTCTCGATTTTGGAAATCAGCTATTCCGTCGTAAGGTCGTAGGATCCGATGACAAGGAGAGCAGGTTTTCACGATGCCTTAACACCTTTGACTTGATTGCCTTGGGTGTGGGTAGCACACTTGGCGCAGGGGTGTATGTGCTGGCCGGAGCCGTGGCGAGGGATAATGCCGGACCTGCAATCGTTCTCTGCTTCCTTATTGCGGCTCTAGCTTCTGTTCTTGCTGGCTTGTGTTATGGAGAATTTGGTGCCAGAGTACCGAAGACCGGTTCTGCCTATCTATACAGCTATGTCACAGTGGGGGAGCTGCTGGCCTTTATAACCGGCTGGAATTTAATCCTCTCTTATGTTATTGGTAAGTTCTGTATATAACAAACATTTTAAAATGCTTAATCATTGCAAAGAATTTTAACTTTTTCTTCTTTAGTGAGGGATTTCAATTGTAGATGAGAGAGATTTGTTCTTTGCAGTGTAGCTTGGTTTTTATTATGGAGCAAAATATATTTAAAGTGACCCTGTCACTAGCCTTTTAGAGGAGATCTGTGAGGTGAGTGATTGATTTACACTCATCCCTATAGTTAGAGCCGACGTGTGACAATGAAACTGTCGCACGTCGGCTCTATTGATCAGGAAGTGAGCGAACACATACCGTCGCTTGCTCACTTTCTGATCATCTCCCTGCAGAGTGGTGACAGTCAGTCACTGCTCCCAGCAGGGATTTCCCCCCTCTCCGATCCTCCAGCGCTGACTGGAGCAATGGACGGGCAGGGGGTGGGCACAGCTGGCTCTGCCTCTAGATAGACAGAGCCCGCTGTCAATCAGCCAGCTGGGTGGATCTTGACAGTATTGTCTGGATCCATCCTGGCTGCGGTGCTCTCGGTATATAGTTCACTATATACTGAGCTTTGGGTCACGGGGTGACGTTAGTATATGTCCTCCCGTGACCCTTGAGAGAACTATTGGATAAAAAGGTTACCCTATACAGTAGTTCTCTTTTAAAGATACCTTTTTGTTGGCCGGTGTTCTAAAACTTTGATCTCAGGCTGTTGCTAGTAACCAACACTTCGAGTGCGTCAAATGTCTGGTCCCCTGCTGTGTGCTGTACTTCCTCCAGCTGGAGTTTTAGGACCCCACCCAGTAAGTCTTTATCGTCTTCCTTTTACAGGCTAGTTTTACTTTAATTGTGTGCAGTTAATGGCAGGGATTCGGTCTTGTGATCTTAGATAAAGGGATTTAGGGGTCTGATGTATGGCTATATGGCTAGGTGATTAGTCTTTGGCCCTTATTTATTTTTGTACCATACTATAATCCAGCGTACATTTATACACCCATAATCCTATGTGGCTTTTTTCTCACATTGCTGTATATATTGGAGGGTTACCTAGGGTTGTGTATTTTTTTCCCCCCAATTAAATTCTCATGGGCTGTATGGTCTAAATATCAATGTATATTTATTATTTTTTTTCAGGTACATCGAGCGTGGCTCGAGCTTGGAGTGCAACATTTGATGAACTTATTGGAAGAAAAATTGAAGATTTCTGTATGCAGCACTTCACCATGAATGTGCCGGGTGTTTTAGCCAAATACCCCGATATCTTCTCAGTGGTCATTATTTTGGTGCTGACAGGTACTGTGTTTTTTTAAACAGGAAAAATGTATATTGTTTTCTGAACTGTTCCTTTTCATTTAACAACTGCGCACAGCCTACTGTAAAGATCCCATGACCATAGGTCCCATAACCATATAACCCTACAGCTTGAAACTTGAAGTACATTGGTCATTATCATACATAGGTTTCCATTTAAAATGAGAAACATTTAAACAATCTTGTATGGTGTGGGCTGCATATATAGTTTGTGTCTGCATGCTGTTTGCCATATTGCTCCTTTTATGAATTCGGATTGAGGGCACGTCAACGTTTTTCACAACGTGGACACTACTGTATGTGCAGACTGCAATGCCAAAGTGTGCTGCTGCATGGTATGGAATTCTGGGACTAACACTTTCATGACAAGTTATCAATTATCTCTAGATCAACATGCCTAGTTAACTTGACTGTAGCTTTAACTAATTTGCATATCTAAATTGACGTGTGTGTGTGTTCTGTTTAAACGTTATTTTTATAATTCGCTGCCAAATGTGCAAAACAATGTTTTAATTTGTTTTTAATACTGTTATTGTATTTGACAATTACAGTAATAAACAATTGAACACTGCCACATTCAGGCAGCACTGGCATTTTGTCAGAGAAGCTTTCAACCTGTCTGTGACCACTGTTATATAATGATGACATTGACAATTGGGTACCAATCAGCAGTTAGTGACAATATGGACCAGAGTTGTTGGTGACAACTGTGATTGAGAGCCACTGGCTGCACCAAGTTTCTATACAATGTAATGATGGTTCAGAAAACTACAGGTTTGCTGTAAAAGCTATCCTTTTTGTAACTGAAGGTATTGACATCAAGACTGTTACTCAATCCTGTTTTCCTTCACTCTTCCACAGGTCTCTTGTCATTCGGTGTGAAGGAATCGGCATTTGTAAACAAGATTTTCACATGCGTCAATGTATTAGTCCTGGGCTTCGTCATCGTTTCCGGCTTTGTGAAAGGATCCATTAAGAACTGGCAGTTATCAGAAGGGGATATGAATAAAACCAACCTCACTTATTTAGACAAGTATGTCTGCCCACCTTCTCTTAACTGTTTCTGTAAAAGTTTCAGTAAGTGTCAGGCGTGTAATCATTTTGCAGGGCATGCAAGCATCCGTGATTATTCAGCTGGTGTCATGTGTCTGTAGGGTGTGAAGTTTTTAAAAGTACATCTCATGTTCTTTTAATAATCACTACACAGGCTCACACTCACTGCTGTGCCGAGTCAATCCAAGAAAGTTTGATTGCAGGAATATTGAATATATCTGATGCTTTTATCATAAGCATTTGTCTAGAGCATGGAAGGCCATTGCCAATACACAGAGGCTGCTTACCCGCCCAATTTCTACTTGGTGGGTCAGTAAACATGAGCAGCTCATGTTTTTTGTATTGGTGTTCGCAGACCACTGATTGTCGTTTAAAAAGTATGACCTAATCGATGTATTCTTCTGCAGTCATATAAAGGATGCGCAATTTCATTTCTGTCTTTAGTAACACGGAGTCGAGTACCTGGGAGTATGGTAACGGTGGATTCATGCCGTATGGTTTTGCTGGAGTCCTATCTGGTGCCGCCACTTGCTTCTATGCATTTGTTGGCTTTGACTGTATAGCTACTACAGGTAAGAGTGCACTAAATCCGTGGATTTCTACATTCCAGGAGATAAATGGCACGTATTGCCGTGAATGTCATAATCTACCCTTAAAACAGAACTCTGATTAAAAATTGTATAAACCCTTTGCAGTGGGGCTAACCACCCTAACTGCAAGGGTTAAGTGCTTGTTTTTGCCTAGGGTAAAAAAAAAAAAAAAAGAGGCCAATCCAGCTTAATAATCAGAGGCCTCTGACTAAAGGTGCCCATACACCTTACAATTATCTGCAGATTTTCTGTGGTCAGATGGAAAAAGTGCAACAGATTGGCCCAGGTGGAGATTACTCCATCCACACAGTTAGGTGCAGATGGAGGAATCTGTTGCACCTTTTCCATCTGTCCACAGAAAATCTGCAGATAATTGTAAAGTGTATGGCCAGCTTTAGTCGGATTGGTGAAACAAGTGAGAGATATTCTATACATGGGATGTTGTTTCACGGTATGTATTTTTTTAATTAATAAAAGTAGTTTTAATTCATGAAGATCCATGGAAGTGCGGCTTGTCTTTTCAGACGAATGCACATGTTGCAGGCTGAGGCGTGCCTATATTGCCTGCACCCGTGGTGATTTACTGATATATGAAGTAGCCTGGGAATTGGAGCAGCAGACTGTTTGTACTAATGAAATAGTTATATTACTATAATATCAATTATTACAATATTAGTTACTAATGCTATTCACATCCCACTTTATATATGTGAAGTCTCTGCCCCGTGGTACAAGCTTTGACATTAACACTTGACTACAGGAAGATCTGTAGTCAGCCAGGCTGTCCCACATGGTACCCACAGAGTATATACCATGCCACTTTTCATCTAGAAGTCTTGAAGGCTTCAGTTAAGAGAGTAATTGAGTAAGGTTTGTGAGCGTTTCTTGGGCAAACATTCAATGGTGTGCATCTTTAAATCCCACATTTCATACAATTTTTTACAATTATTATTGTGTTTTTAATGTTAGGTGAGGAAGTAAAGAACCCCCAGAAAGCCATTCCTATTGGCATTGTGGCTTCTCTCCTAATTTGCTTTGTGGCATACTTTGGAGTATCGGCTGCCCTCACTCTCATGATGCCGTACTATTTATTGGATAAAAACAGTCCTCTGCCAGTCGCCTTCAATTATGTTGGATGGGGAGGAGCAAAATATGCTGTTGCTGTTGGATCCCTCTGTGCACTTTCTACAAGGTAACTCTTTTCTATACATGTACTCAGTACATTTTCAAAGCTAATGAATTTCATAATTGCATAGGATTATAACATTATTATGCCATAAACCTGCTACTCTAGTTCTATAATAAGATGTATACACTTTTCTACCATTTATTGCACTTTGCACGTCATTGATGTTGCATTATACGTATAACAGGAATTCTGCGCTTTTGGAACTGACTATAAACCATTAACCCAAGAGCTGCTATGAATGAAAGGGAAATGTCCTTTTTTAAAGCAAATCTAAAAAAAATGCTTTAACCCCTTCATGACTGAGCTTGTTTTTAGTTTCTGTTCGTAAATGACTGACACACTTTTCACATATTATATATTGTTTTTTAGAGGACAGATAGGGCTACATATTTATATCACATATGTGTGTCTAACGCCTCACTTAGGACAAATAAAATATATAAAAAAAAGTTAAAAAAACACTTTTTTTCCCAGTTTTGATTTGTAGTATTTTTTTTTACAACAGCAGCACAGCTAAAAAATGCAATAAATACATTTATTTATTTGTCCCTTATTTTATTTTATTTTTTACACTTTTTTTTTTTACACTTTTCACTTTTTTTTAAACTTAAAAATGGTATTTTATTTAATTATATCAAGCAGTCATTGTGAATTAATCTCACTGTTACTGCTTGATGAATTAATACATTTTTGGTTATTATCAGGCTGCTTCAAACTTCAGAACAGCCGATAATAAGTTAGTGACACTGATCCTGCAGCAGTTCAGGATTCAGCTGTCACTAGTTTTCTGATTGTTGCAACAACGATCAGCAAACTGAAACATTCTTCTTCCAGGAATAGATACATTGTAGGAATAGACACATTATGTATCTATTCATGAAAGAAAAAAAGCCAGTATAGCTTGAGAGAGATATCTCTCTCGATCTATACGAGCTGTCAGAATGCCTGCTTTGGCATATGTGTCCCTCTCAGACACCCGATATTAAGGTATCGGGTGTCTGAAAAAGGTTAACCCTTTCATTAATGAATGCCTCTGTAGTAAGGACATCCATTAATGAATGTTAAAAGCTGATTCTCAGTGGTTAACAGCCCTCTAAAGCAGCAAATAACTCGTCACGTACAGTGTACGTGACAAGTCATTTGGTCCCTTTGTGGCTGGACGTACAGTGTACGTCTCCCGTCACGAAGGGGTTAAAGGGACCTTTCCCTGGATCAAGGGGAAAGGAACAGAAATAACTTTTTTCTTTCTTTTTACCGCGAATAACTTTGCTTATTGAGCACTGTCACCTTTCCACTGATAATTGAGAGTTCACCCTGGGACTGTTATTTATTATCAACCTACAACTGATATTATTATTTTTCACTGTTACTTGTGATTATTTGTGCTGATTGATATGAAGTATCAGCTTACCACCGATTATATTTATTGTTTGTTACAATTACACGTTTGGAGAAATTGCCTCTCACCGGCTGTTTGATATTTTTTCACGGTTAACTTGTTGTTAGCACACTTTAGTTTATTCAGTTTAGTTTTGTATCTGAACTTTTTATCTATTGATATTGCTTAGTTTTTCCCACCTATTATTCCACCTTTTTCCCACCTATTATTCCACCTTTATTAGATTATGCTTACTCATTTTCTATGTTAGACCATCACTATAAAATATTGTTTGTATTTCACCTTTAGCGCTGTGTCAATTTTGTATATGTTGCATTATACGCCTGCACATTTAAAATCATTGCCCTGGTATCACATCAATCTTATGTCCATTAAATAATATCCTGGATTGCCCAATATTACTTCTACTGTGCGGGACCATCGTTTAAAGGAAACTTGTTTCTTCTCTTTCATAGCCTGCTTGGTTCCATGTTTCCTATGCCTCGTGTGATTTATGCCATGGCAGATGACGGGCTGCTATTTAAAGTTTTAGCCAGAGTCAGTGAAAAGAGCAAAACGCCCATTATAGCCACAGTTTCCTCGGGAGCTGTTGCAGGTAAGCTGAAATACGATTCGATCATTCTTTATAGTTGTTCCCACTACAGCTTTTGTGACCTCTGCAAAATTCTGCACATTCATACATCAAGAAATGTGCCGCATAAACGCTCTGCTGCACCTTATATCCTAAGACTGTGTAGCTTCATACACACAGCCGCAGAGCTAAAACAAAATTGTATACCTCACTATTGACACTGCTGTCCCTGTACAGTGACACATTCCCTTAGATAGCCCTACCCCATCAGGCAACATTCCTTTATATGAACCCTGCTGGTCTTATGAAAAGATCAATGGAAACATTAATATAAGAAAGCGTGCTGCAAGCTGGTTTACCTTAACGGTTACAGAATCCACCTTAGACATGGAAAAGAACAAATTATGATCTTTAAATAATCGTAAAAATGCTTTTAGTGTGCTTTCAGAGAATGCTGGCTGCTTTCATTGATTACAAACTCCGGGTGTTAGGTTAGGTGATTCTTCAACTTTTTGTGAACCGTTCCCTACTAAGTGGCTGCCGGCTGTAAAATAGCATAGGCTTTTTAAGGCTTAGGCTTCGTGGAATGTGACCACTCATCCATGAGATATTTTTGGTATTGCTTAATGTATTACATCTCCTGTTAGGGGATCACTGGCAGGATACATTACAGAGCTGTGTTCCTTTATTTGGAGCTCACGGATGTGTTTTATGACATAATGACAAATACAGTCGTGTGTTCAAACAATGTTTAAAAGTTTCATTAGGATCAGTAACTGTGCGTGGTTTCAGAAGCCTATTTAAACCATGCAAGTTTTTACCAAATGATTGCAAAAGTTGTTTTCATTTCTTTTTAAAATGACATTGTGACGTTTATGCAAAATAGATACTCTACACACAATGTAGAAGTTTAGTTCAGGCTAAAGTTGGGATTGCTTGTACCTCCTGCCATACTAGGAAAGTGTTTCTGTAGTACCTAAAGCTGTAGTTAAACCTTTTATTTAAAGCCAAGAACAAAAATTTAATATATTTTTTTTATATTGCATCATTCCTTTGATAGTGGCTGCATTGCTTTTTCCATTTACACAGTGATTCATCTAGTAACCCACTTCCTGTCCTAGAATGACAGTCACCGTACTGCATCTATAGAAGAGCAGCACCCTAGGACCATAAGTGGTGGAACTACAGAACACCTTCCCTCTTTTAATCTTAATAACAAATGGATAGATGTTTTGCAGGGCAGTACAGTGGCTTACTGGTAAGCACTTCTGCCTTGCAGCACCTGGGTCCCTGGTTCTAATCCTGGTCAGAGAACTATCTGCAAGGAATTTGCATGTTCTCCATGTGCTTGCTTGGGTTTCCTCCAGGTACTTCTGTTCCCTCCCACACTACAAAGACTCCTATCTAAATTGGCCCCGTCTGTGTTCAATAGGGACCTTCGACTGTAAGCTCCTTGAGGGCAAGGACTGATGTGAATGTTGGGTATTATAAATTACAGTTGTTAAAGAAAACTACACCCCTAATTTTTATGACCTGTCTTCTTTTCCAGCATTGATGGCATTTCTGTTTGACTTGAAAGATTTGGTGGATCTCATGTCCATTGGCACACTTCTCGCTTACTCTCTGGTAGCCGCCTGTGTCTTAGTTTTAAGGTAAAGGCATAAAGTCTTTGTATGCTGTATGGAAAGCATTCTCGTATAGTAAGTTTCATGCATTTTGATGACTGACTTGGTCTTCTTGTAGCTGCATTGTTATTTAGGTTCTTTCCTTGTTCTTTTACAGGTATCAACCGGAGCAGCCAAATCTGGCTTATCAAATGGCCTGCACAAATGAAGAGCCTGATATTAATGAGTCCGTCAGTACCAGTGAGTCTCAGGCTGGTTTTCTGGGAGAAGATGAGAAATTCACTCTCAGATTGTTGTTCTGCCCAGCAAACACTGAGCCAACCAGGTTATCAGGAGCCATAGTAAATTGTGCCACTGGGATGATCGGTGAGTAATTGGAATGTGACTTGTGGCTCTGCTCTGTCATAAGCACAACCCAGTGGGATCTGTAAACTGAATTAAAAAAACTTTACTGCTAAATAACAGGTTCGCTATCATCTTGTACCATTGTATTCCAGCTAATAAGACTGGATGTATGATTCCTAAATGCAGGCTTTTAGTTTAGGTCAGTCACTCCAATTACAGTGATTATTAATAAATGAAGTGTAATGCTGTTGATTATGGTACATGTATCTAAAGCACCACCAAAGCTTGTATCTTAGGCCAAAAATAACAAATGTTTTTGGTCATGAAATGTGTAGAGATGCGAGCTATATTTCCTTTATATTTTTACTTAATAGTTACTCCTGCAGATTGGTGATTGGCTAATGTTCAATTTAGAAGTTGGGTAATGTAAAAACTAGCGCTCCCAAGCAACTTGGCCAACTTATTATGAAATATAGGAACTCGCAAGACCATATGGAGGGGTTTTAATTAAATGGAAACCTCTGTGCCTCCATGTTTTGCAGCCCACTAATGACCAACCAAATGTATCTTTTCATTTTTCTGTACTGCGGATATAGAATCTTGCTTATGGTGGGCAGCATAATGTTCTGAGACAACGCATCTTCAGTCACTTTTATAAATGAGGCACCTAATGTTTTATAGGTAGTAATGCTCCCCATGGATGCACAGATCCTATTTCTGATATGTTGCACATCTTCTCTTTTCAGGCCTGCTGATTATCATATTTTGCTGCCTCTCTGTCATCGGCCAGGAGTCTCTGGTAAACGGAAGTGCTTCGGTGATCGTCCCTCTTGCTCTCAGTTTTCTTTTATGTTGCCTCTTGACCCTAATCATTTGGAGGCAGCCTGAAAGCAAAACCAAACTATCTTTTAAGGTAAGCTGTGCCTACTGAAAATCCCATGCTTATAGAATGACTTCGAGTGCTCAGCCTAGATCTCTTCAGATTTCTCGGGGGTTGTAGGGAACACATAGGATGTCATATAGAAGTAGTGTTCAGTGATAATTGAAACTGAATGTTCAAGGCTTCACTAGTTCGTGCAGGCATTGCTGCCCCCCCAACTTCTTTTTGTCTTTGGAAAATCCTTTTGCTTACCGATTTTATGAAATACCGAGGAGGTCTTCCCAAACCAACACTACATGCTCCTTGACTTGCATCCAGAGATGTATCAAAATGTCAGCGCTAATAAGTTTCTGAGTGCCACTAATTACATTTGAACCTGCCTTGGAAGTTTTATTCTGGTGACACAGCGGGCAGGGAGAGGAAGATGTACAACACGGGCTCCAGGAAACAGACCACACATACAAGGAGCTCTGTTGAATCTGGTTAAAGTAGTTAACATAGAACTCAAATTAGGGTAAATGAAAGGACTTTCTTGTTCCAGCTGACTCTACAAAGGGCTGTTTTCTGTGTTCAAACTAATAAAACACAAAATGCTCTAAATATTTGTTGCACTGCTAAGCAATTAAACATTAACTAGCTCATTGATACACTTAAAACCGATGCATTTTCACTATAATGGCGATAGTGGTGCTGTACAAGTTTTAAGGGTAGGAGGCTCAACTGGTATTAGAAGCGCTGAATTATGCATGGGAAAGGGACACCCAGGAACAATCCAAGCAAGTTTGCTCTATGCTTTTATTCAACCAGTCAGCAAACACAGTTTCAGAGGACTGTTGCCTATTGGGTTCCCCAAAACAAACAGGCAGCACTTTTACCTTTTTGAAGTGTCCTGTCAGCACTCAGCCTTTTCACCCAAGTAGTAGTGTCTGGGTGTCCTCTTATCCTTAAATCTGTTGTTTTCTTCTTTTAGGTACCATTTCTACCCGTGTTGCCCATTTTGAGCATCTTCGTAAATGTATACCTAATGATGCAGTTGGACAAAGGCACATGGATACGATTTGCAATCTGGATGGTAATAGGTAAGAACTGGCACATTACTAATTGCAGGCACCGTTCCTTAATTTGTTGTTACTACATGATTAGTAAGATAAGTGTATGTAAACTGACTGGTTCTAGTGGTGTTATTTGTGGTGTAAGAAAACAAGCATTTAATTGGTTGCTGCGGGACGCAATCTTTTATTCCTGTGGGGGATATTTATAATAATGGTGTTAGCTATACCTAACATGGAAATACAAGGTACTCATTTGTATGTAAGAGATAGTATACACTTTGGTGAGAAAATATGCAACATGCCGACCCCAATTTAATATATATATATTTAAAAAATAATTTGAGGGAGAGAGAGGACTATTCACAGCTGGGCCTATAGAACATTCTGAATAATCATCTTTCATCAGAATAATTGAGAATTGTAAAGGTGCCCATACAGCTTACAAATATCATTTGAAAAACAAATGGAATCTGGTTTTCGCACGATAATCGGCCAGTTGATGGGAAGTGAAAGATCACAATCGCTTTACAACTGAGCGAATTTAGTCGATCGGTCAGGCTGGAAAACTTTTTCCTAATCATACGAAAATTGATGGATTAGTGGCGTTTTCGGGCGGAAAAAATTGCAACAAGAACACTGCACGTGTGCAAACGAAAATCCGTTCTGTCGATCGACGACATTCAGCCAGTTAGTATTGCTAACGAACGATAATGAAAATATACATTGGTCTGTGCGTGATGGGGTATTCAAGCGGAAATCGAACAAGGGTTCAATGACGGGACGAAAGAAATCGAACGAGAATTGTAAGCTGTATGGGCACCTTTATGAAATGGTTATATTTACCCCC